CATCACTCAGTCAATCAATCAATTCAATTGCATACATATTTATAACATGTTTATAACACCTATCTAAGCATACAAACATGTATAATGGCAACAATATTTTATCAAAATATGCGTACATATACACGTACATGTACACACAAAAACGTACATACAGCGCCACATGCATGCCCTCATTGTTAAGCGACTACATCTATTAAGGACGAAACTTTTTAAAATTTCGATTTAGAGTTTTTTCGCAATTAAAATTTTTTTTTTTATTTTAATTTTCGTGTTGTAATTTTGCACCTGCGTGTTAACATTTGAAATGAGCAGGTCTTGAGACGCTCACCTTATGTGTGTCATGTACTTTTAGTTTTCACTTGAAATCAGCATCCAATGAAATTTGAACCAAAACCACAACAATTACATAAACATGAAAAAGAACCGCATAAAAAACAAACAACATTTTATAAAGTTTAAACAACAACATAAACAACAACATGAACAACAACATGAACAACAACCTAAACAACAGCATGAACAACAACATGAACAACAGCATGAACATCAACCTAAACAACAGCATGAACAACAGCATGAACAACAGCATGAACAACAACAACATGAACAACATAAACAACAACACAAACAACAACATGAATAAAACTGTTAACCTGAAAAAAAACAACATAGGTACAGGTTCAAATGAATGAAGCAAGGACAGGAGCCCATCGTTACAAGTTCTTCAATTAAACTGATTTGTTGTTTCATATTTTTCTTAGCTGGGAATTTTTCATTTAAAAAAAATTTTTGTTTATTTTTATTTCGTTTTTTTTTAAATCGCAATATTTCGATGTTGTTTTTATTAACCGAGATTTATTTGCTTTCGTTTTCAAAAACTAAATCCATGTTAGCTTTATTATTAGTGATGTTATTATGATGATGAACATGATGAGTTTGTAAACAAGGCAAAAGAAAGAAACAAAATCCTGTTAAAATTTTGCAATGTTAAATAGTGCAAACAAATTTTTCGGACACATTATATTACATAATAATTTATGGAAAAAATTTACATCTTGCAGAAAACATCCTGCTACTTACTGCATCACATTCATTCCATCTACATTTTACTTGGAAGATAATTTTATGTTGAAAGAACAAATACCTCTGGAGGTATATCTGTAAATAACTTCCACAAAATTTGATGTGCTGCAAAAAGAAGTCCATAGGACACGTGATGTGTGGCTCGTAATTTGTGGTGGCACGTATGTGTTGCACGTGATGTGTTGCAAGAGGAAATCCCGAGAGCATTCAGTTTTTAGATGATTTCTATAAAAAATAAACTTTGTTGTATAGTAATAAATACTGATGTGTTGGGTGAATGGTTGCTCGTGATGTGGTACGCTTCATGTGTTTGTTCGCACGTGAAGTGTTGCACAAATCCATATAGTCCATTCAGTTTTTAAATGCTTTCGATTAAAAAATACATGGTGTGACACGTGGTGTGTACTTGCACGTGATGTGTTGCACGTAATGTGTAGTTGCACTTAATATGTTGCAAGAGGAAGTCATAACAACATTCAGTTTTTAGATGGCTTCGTTAAAAAAAACAATATTGTATAGTAATAAATGTGATGAGTTGTGTGATGTGTGGTTGCACGTGTTGTTGCACGTGATGTGTTTTACTCGAATTATTAACTTGAATTACTTTTTCCGATGTACATAACTAAATTATTTTAAAAATGTAATAAAAGATTTGAAGAAGGACTTATGAGCCAATTATTCTTTTTTCCTCTCTATTGTTAGATAGTTTTTATTCTTTATAATGCTGCTCTGTCAAACGTAGAATCGCTTACATGGGATTCTATATCCATACTTATAAAAACAAACTATGGTGCTGCATTGTTGTACAGTACACTGTCTACACCGCACGACGCAGACACACATTGTGCATGCCCACCCACACACGTATCTTGGTCTTTGAGTTTCGGACAGGCAGCATTCGAACCATGCCACCGCGTAACAACAGCACGAGACCCTTCTACCGATTCGACTAATTCGGTAGATATCAAAATGATGATGATGATGTTGCCAAAGAGGATGATGGTGGTGATGAAGATGTTGTTGTTGAGGATGATGATAATTATGATGATGTTGAGGATGTTGATGATCTATAATGATAAGGTTTGTAACGTTCATGATGACGCATAATAATGATTAGAAAAACATGACAACAACAAAGACAACAGTAACGGCTGTAGCAACAACAACGTCAACAGCTGTCGCAGTAACAATAAAAACGCATCAGCTATAATAATTGGACTATGATATAGTGATGTTGTGTTGCAGTGATATCAGTTATGATGACGGCAGCTGTGAGTATGAAAAAATAAAATTATGATGAATTTGAGGGTGGTTGTTATGGTGGTGGTTGTTTATAATGGTGATGTTTCTGGCGTAGATGACGTATAATAACGATGGATGGATGGATGGATGGATGGATGAATGAATGAATGTTTAGGATAATGGTGATGGATTTGATAGCGATCTTAAGTGACAAATTTAATAACAAAAAGTGTGATGACGATGACGAAGATGATGGTGATATAATAAGAAGATCATTATTATTGTTTATTATATACATATTTATGTTAAAAATAATAAATAACAATTAAATTGAACTGGGATTAATAATAACACCGATAAAAATAATTCATTCAAGGTTGTAATGATGATAATGATGGTGTATTAATGAAGATGATGATAACGATGATGTGTTATATTGAGGAAGATGACGTACGTCATAAATCTATTTGCTGCATACTCTGGTGGCGAATGTTCAATCAAATTAATGATCGTTTGTCGTTTTGCTTGTTGTCGTCAGCGATCACACATGCCTCATCATCGTCATTATCGTCATCATCATCGTCGTCATCGTCTTCATCACCATCATCGTCGTCATCACAATCTTCATCTTCTACACTATCATAGTCGCGGTGATCATTACTATCGTTATAACAGTCCTCATCATCGTCATCGTTATAATCATCGTCAACATCACTACAATCCTCATCATCATCCTCGTCGCCACCACCACCACAATCATCATCATAACCATCACCAACGTCACCAGGCACATAAACCACAACGCACGCGGTATTAGTTGGAAGTGCTGACCGGTTGCCATGGAAACGTTGGAAGCTTTCATGTTCCACTTGCGTCATTTATACTGGACATCTCGCCAGGTCCAACATGACGTCATCATGAGGCATCGCACTTTATTCAACGCGTCAAATCTCCCATCAACAATAACATCAATATTCGCAACAACAACATTCGCAACAACAACAACATCAACATCAACATTCGTAACAACATTTATATATTTATATATAGTATATACATATGCCTACCAATTCATATTATAATATAAATCAAAATCAACACACACACTCACACACACACGCACGCATTCACACACACACACACGCACGCACACACACGCACACAAAAACTAGCGCACGAAACCACTGAATGAAATATAGCAAATAAAAAATGATTGCAGTAGTAAGAGTTAAGAAAGGCAAAAAAATTATTTATTTATTGCGCCGCATCTCATGAAACCAGAAATATTTCAACGACGGGGATACGAAAATGTTTACTGCATTGATTGTTTTTGTGCAAGTTTTGTGCGTGTGTAAATGCATGCATGCATGCATGCAGGTGTGTATGTATGTGTGTAATGTGTATGTATGTGTATATATATATTTTTATTTATTAATTTAATTTATTTATTATTTATTATTATATTATTATTATTATTATTGAAACATTTATGAAGCGCCAATTAAAGGAATCTCAAAAGCGCTATCTAACAAAAACTGAACTTAAAAACATAATAGAAATAACAAACGAGAAATCATAATACATCGCACAGAAATAAGATTAAAATTTGGTCATAAACAGAAAAGTAATCGATTCAATATAACGAAAATACGAAATAATATTTAGAACATGTCGACTAAACAGAAAGAATTGATCAATAATGCATTACAATGAAAATAAATGAGTTTTCAGTTTCTTCTTGAAATCACGCAGGTTTAGGTCCGGATTTCTGAGAGCAGCAGGCAGGTTGTTCCAAACAGTTGGTCCACAAACAGCAATGTTACGAGAGCCTATACGGAGACTCGTTGTTGGGATCAACAGCAGGTTTGAAACATCGGATCTCAAGTGTGTTCCAGATGCTTTTGAAGATCTCTTTTTGAACCTGTCAGACAAATAAGATGGAGCTAGACCGTTGATAGACTTGTAGACAAGTGTTGAAATTTTGAACAATACTCTTTTGTCGAAGGTTAGCCAATGAAGTTCCTTCAATATTGAAGACGCATGATCGTATTTTAGAGCTCCAACAACAACTTTTGCGGCTCGATTCTGTATTGATTGAAGTACAGACATGGATTGATCAGGTAAGTCATAAAACAAACTGTTGCAATAGTCGACGCGTGAGTGCACAAATGCATGAACCAACGTCTGCAACGTGGATGTATCTAGGGATCGTCGAATTTGATTGATTTTCCTGATTTGAAACATGCATTCGGCTGAGAGCTTCTTAATGTGTTGTTTCATTGACAAACCTGAATCAATCGTGAAGCCCAGATTAGCTGCTGTCTGACAAAATGCGATGACCTCATCATTAACAGTTATTGAATTTATATCTATTCTTGAAAGTTGCTGCCATGTTCCAATTGGTTAAAAAACAGTCTTGTTTTGGTTTAGTTTTAAACCATTGTTTTGCATCCACTTATTGACCCCAGACAAACATTTAACCAGTTTGTCCAATTCTGATTTAAAAAAATTTGGCCATATATATATGTATGTATGTATGTGTGTGGTGTGTGTGTTTTGTGTGTATGGTTTTAACTATACTTCCAAAAAGAATCGGCCATACCGATAGCTACCGCTTCCAATGAATATCTGCAATGAAGATACTAATTTTCTAAGTTTACTTGATCAATACTTTTTCAAATCCTTGTTGATGAAAATAGAAACTTGGAAACAACTGATTTGAGCTTTTTGTAAGAAAGCGTAGATGCTGTGTGTTTTGGCTCGTGCCAGAACTTCTGCACCTTGTCACTTGTTGCGGAAAAGTTTTTGGAGACAACCCATTTGGAAGTGATCCAACCGTTTAGCATGCCTACTGTATATAGTTCAGGTTTCACAGGCGTAGAAGAACATAGTGAGTACAACTGCATAGTAGAGGAACGTAGTGATGACGTACACTTTCATTTTGGTGATGAGACTAACTCCTCTTCCCTCCCTGACATTCTCTTGTAAATTGCCAAACGAGAAGCTGGCCTTCGCTGATGATTTGGAAATGTATGTAAAGAAATGTAATGATGATGCTAAAGTTGTGATAACGATACAGAAGTTATAATGATGATGCTAAAGTTGTGATAACGATACAGAAGTTGTAATGATGATGCTAAAGTTGTGATAACGATACAGAAGTTCTAATGATGATGCTAAAGTTGTGATAACGATACAGAAGTTGTAATGATGATGCTAAAGTTGTGATAACGATACAGAAGTTCTAATGATGATGCTGTTTCGTGGCTGGCAGACAGCACCTAACGATGACAACCTCATAAATTACCCATCATCAATTATTTATTTATTCGTTCTTTGAGACTTTTGTAGCATTATGTAATAACAATTGTCATAATTATCAATAAATATCATTTTTTCTTCATTGTTATGACAATATTAATTATAATAATAATAAATATAAATACTACAACAACAACAACAACAACAACTACTACTACTACTACTACTACTACTACTACTAATAATAATAATAATAATAATAATAATAGTAATAATGACGATGATGATGATGACGATGAGGCCGATGATGATGATAATGATGATTTAAAATAACTTTTCAACTGTTTGAATTCGGTCTCGACCTACAGAAAGAAGATTATAAATAGAAAAACAAAAAAAGACAACAGTAGGCATATCTCTCTGACGTATGCATTTGTTTTGATACCTCTACCCATGAAGAAAACCTCGATGACATAAATAGCAAGGATGATGATGATGATGTTGTTGTTGATGATGAAAATGATGTTGCTGATGATGATGATGTTGATGATGATGTCATTGATGATGATGTCATTGATGATGATGACGATGTTGTTGTTGTTGATGATGATGATGTTGATGATGATGTGGATGATGATGTTGATGATGAGGAGGAATGTGATGATGAAAAATGTGATGATGATGGTGATTGTGGTAATGATGGTAATGATGATGTTGGTGGATATTAAAATTCTGGTTAACCGAATGATAATGATGGTTGCTATGACGGAAGAGATAAAAGTTTGATCATGAGCTGGAAAGAAAATTAATTGTTTAACGAGGAAAAAATGGATTTATGGCTGGCCCTCAAATATAGTTTAACGCAAACACAACAACTAATACGCTACGCACACACTCATACACACACACACACACACATACACTCACACACACAAAAAAAGCTACCAATAACGTTTATGTCTATTTTATTTCATCTCCGATTTCCCTCACCATCTCTTCAGCCTCCGTAGCTGCATTCATTTTTCATTTCCTCCAAACACAAGACAGTCAATTTTTTTTAATTTTTCATCATCCTACTTGAAGTACTCCCAGCAGAGGTTTCTCGAACTCATGCGGACAACAAAGACACAATGGAAGACTTTGGCCAGCGTTCTTCCGACAAACTATTAACTACAACAAATATATATATAATCACACCGGCGCGTTGTAATGAGAAAATGAACAAAGTACATTGTACTGCAACAATAACAAAATTATCAACAACAACAACCACCACCACCACCATAACAACAACTACAGCATCAACAACCACCACAACAACAACATCAGCAAAACTAACAACAATGACAATTATATTTGCAAGAGAACGACAACGTCCAACCACGAAACTCGAAATACAACCGCAACAACAATAATTAAAATGCAAACAACAACAACTGCAATTGCAGCAATAACAACAATTCGCGCCACACTATACAACAATAATTTCGACCACGAACAACATGAACGCTGCCATATCTAGATAACCCGCAGAGCAGAAAGCCAGTTATTTTAGGAGTTACAACTTGCAATAACCGCACAAACAGAAACAACAAACACAACAACAACGACAACAACAACAAGAGAATCACTACAACAACAGCAACATCATCATATCTATAAAATTACAAACAACATCAACGACAGACTGAATGCAGTTTCAAATGTGCAAACGATAGCAACAAAACAGTGGTTCACTGCAAAAACTTCAACAGCCGAAACATTCATACTAAAATCAGGGCCACACATCCCAATCAAACAACAAAAATTACCGTTCACAGCAAAATAAAATAAATGAAATAATCTAAAAAAAAACAAATTAATTGGAAAAATCATTTCGTTTGTTTCAAAACACGAACTACTACAACAACATCATTTTCACAAAACACACACGCACATACACAACACACGCACACACACACACACGGGTACTATGAAAAAAAATTTCACTAGACTCTAATAACCTTTCATTGAACGGTGAACAATTTTTTTTTGCATTCCAACTGCTATCCTTTCATGGAGAAACAATTTTTTTAGACTGTTTTTTTTAAATAATAATTTTTTGTGTACCTGATAAGCAGGAATGAAGTTTTAAAATTACTCTAACACGTAATTATACTTCGTTGCAAGAATTTAAAAAGCGTACGAAAAAAATTGTAAATGTTAATAAATAGATGGAATTTTTGTTATATACAAAAAATAAATGAATAAAGTAGTTGTTGCTCTGAGGAAAAATATGTTCCTACCAGTGAATCGTGTTGAAAAATTGTAAGAATCAATAAATAACTTGACAACGAGTTTTAAAAATTTCAAAATTATTTATATTTTTTGGTTAGTTGTGTGAAAAATGTCTATTTTTGGTGAATATAAATTACATTGTTAATTTCTGATAAAAATAATTATGCGTTCTTTTGAAGCATTTAAAAAAATAATCATATTTTAACATTCAAAAAGTGTTTTTTCTAATTAAAGCAATAAAATCTGTTGAGAGTGTACACGATGTGATGATGTAATGATGTAATGGATGTAGTGATGTAATTGATGTAATTATGTAATTGATGTAGTGATGTGATTGATGTAGTGATGTGATTGATGTAGTGATGTGATTGATGTAGTGATGTGATTGATGTAGTGATGTGATTGATGTAGTGATGTGATTGATGTAAATGTTGTTGGTGAAGTCACCGCCAGTTTTCTCCAATACGATTCAGATGTTGCAAACTTAATTTCAATTCACAAGTTTGTTCGTTGCTGAAGTCATTGTTGAGAAAAATTTTCCACTAACGTTTGTGTTGATTTGTGATAATGTCCGGTAGTCAATAAATAATTGCAGCTGTTGTTGTTGTTGTTTGTTGTTGTTGTTGTCGTGTTGTTGTTGGTAGTGGTGGTGGTGGTGGTGGTGATGATGGTAGTAGTGTGGGTCTGCTAATTAATGAATTTATGGCTGGATGACATCTTTGTGGCGTTAATTTTTAAAAAAAATCACCTCCGATGTTTTATGCGACGAAACTTCTCAAAAATAATTCTCAAAATTTAAAAGTTTACGTCCCTTGCTGTGTTACTCAATGAAATAATATATTCTTGTTGCCCGCCTCGCTGATTTTTTAAAAATCGGATTAAAGAAATTTGTTTTTCATTGTTTGCTGAAAAACAGTTCTCCTCTGTGGTTCATGAGGAGTTTCGTTATTTGTTGCAGGCTGCCGTTTAATGCTTTATGTCCTGCCAGGCAGTTTCTTTCAATGGAGACATTGGAATATATTCAATTTATTTTAAATAAATTACACCATACACAAACAACCACACAGAAACGCACACACACACAGACACGCACACACACACTGACACACACACGCACATACAAGCACACCAAAAGTAGCATGAGGATAATCAGCTCATAAGGCCATGATAATCAGAGGGACTTTAAAACTAATCTGTTAAAGTTTAAAAACAAAATATTTTTAAACTAATATTATACATTTACTTAATCCTTTAAAAATCCTCATGCAGTTGTTTAAAGCAATCCAATGAAACTCAAGCGAAAAAACAATCGAATGCCTATGATACTGATATTTATTTATTGTTATCGTGATCGTCACAAAACACAAGATCAATTCTTAAAACCAGCAGTGGAATAATTTGTTTCATAAAAATTGTTAAAGTTTGTGACTTTGGAGGAGGAATTATTTTCAACCTAAACTTTTTCAAATTTTATATCCAATCATTTTCTAACTCCAATAGCGAACTAAGATGTTAAAGTTATTTAATTGAAAATTACTTAAAAAACTTAATCCTGCTAAAAATTTTATGATGTTCTCATAACAGTTTAAGTATGGTCGTTGGGTAAAAATTTAATGTATATAAAACTTAATTAGATGGTAAATAATTGTGATTTTTTAAGAATATTACATTTAATTGATATATTGTAATTACGTCCAATTATAAGTTTTTGTTTCATTGGTGTCCGTTCAAGTTCTGCAACCATCTCGATTGTTCGAAAGGCATCCATTCAAAGATTAGGAATCACGCAACAATGCAACTCCAATTAACTATTCAGCCGCTTGAAAATCGCAAAAAAAAATAATTTTTTACGAAACTTTGATGAGCGTAGATAGAAGGATTTTTTATAAAAATAATTAGATGGATGATACGAAGAAAGCAGAAGTTTAATTTCATCGTCGTAGCAGCATCTGTTGCGGTGTCGCAGTGTTGCACTAAAACAGCCAACTCTTAGACATAGATCAAATTAAAAAAACTGTTAGGCAATAAATAACAGAAGACCGAATAATTTTTTTGATAAGCTATCGTATGCACAGTGCAAGGAAATAACAAGCAGTTAAACGAACGCTTTTCCCGCTTGTCTTGTTGTTAACTAGTTAGAACAAAACCGTTGATGTTAAAAATTAACGCATTCGCAACAAATTTCCAACTGAAACAGCAACGTACCGACTAACCAACAACGATATACAAAGACAATGAAACATGAATATCACAACAAACGACTGGCAAAAATACGTTTTAAAATGTTCAACAAGAAATACAAACACAAAATTTATGAATGGTGAGTACATACAGTAAGTAGTCGTAAATATCTTGTATACACTTGGACGACGGAATGACGCAAGTTAACTATCCTATCCCTGCGTTACTCAGTTGCTGGGTTCGAACGCAAGAAGGTCTCCCGCCTCAGACGAGCCTGCCTGATTGGTGCGTACTTTTTGGATGTTCTTGTGTGCGTGTGTGGGCTGCAAACGATTAATGTACATGTATGTGTATGTAGTGTAGGTATTCAAACATATACTTAATTTATAACTGTTACAGATATATAACCACACTGAAAAGATGGGACCAATAATAATGAACAGACAAAAAATGAATTGTATGAAAGCCTGATGGCAACTCATTTCAATGAAACTGCAAATTACAAACTGAAGGCAATGGAGAACAACTTAATTGCACGACCCACACTATGATTCAATGTAGAAAGAACAGGGACAGAATACGGAGTGAGGAAAACACGGAGATGTAGGCAGACGACATGCTGCACAACTTGCTGCACAACTTGCTGCACATTACAACGTCATATGAGGCACGCTCAATTATCTCAGCCAATCAAATAAACAATGCAACAAGAAATATTCCATAGTTTGTCTCCACAGTAGATAAATGAATGGACGGATGGATGAATGGATAGATGGATTAATGAATGAATGAATGAATGAATGAATGAATGAATGAATGAATGAATGAATGAATGAATGAATGAATGAATGAATGAATGAATGAATGAATGAATTAATTAATTAATTAATGGGAGGATGAATGAACGAATGAGTAGAGGAAAAAACAAATTCAAGATTTTTAATAAAAGAAACCGAAATAAGTTGAAAAAAAATGTTGTGAAAAGATTTCCTCAACCAAAAATTTGCATTAAACTTCAGATGAGTTGTTAACGACAATGAAATAATTGAGAGCGAACCTGCTTTTTATTCAAATAAAAAATGAAACGGTTCGACGGTGCACAAGAAATGAGGCCAACAAAAGCAACACCAGCTGTAAATTAGGCAATTCCAAAATTCATTCGTGTGAAATATTACATGTTTTCACAATTCTTATTAGCTTTATAATTCATCCAGGCTGCAGAAAAATTGGTTGTTAGATTGATTCATACTCGAAGCAACATCACTGTCAGACACTTAACATAACAAATGCACTCTAAGTAATGAAAATAATTAAATAGATTTTAAAACTACAAAAACACACATTCCCATACATAACACTTGAACACGAGCAAACACACTCTTAGCAATTACCTATTAGAGCCCTGCGCGGTTTGCGGTTGTCGCGGTTTAAACCGCAAAAACCGCACCGCAACCGCGGTTTTTTGCGGTTGCGGTGCAAAATCATGCGGTTTTACGCGGTTGCGGTTTTGAAATATGCGGTTTTTCCGCGGCGCGGTTTTTTTTATCAAAACCGCGGTGACCGCAAAAATAGCGTTAAATATTTTTGTTCGTCCATAACATTTTAAAAATTGCATTATCATTGTAATAATTTTATATATTAAGATCTTAATATC